GGGGTCAAGGAAAGGAAAGACTGAGTCTGAGCTAGCTGGCTCAGGCTCCCCTCTGCCATCTCCAGGGCCCAATGTGCCCTCTGGGAGGGGCACTGTTGTCTCTGGCTCTAGACCTGGCCTTTCCAGGTCTACTTCCCCATCTCGCCAGTTCAGGCTACGGCAGCAGCACACCCAGTAGTCAGGGAACTGGGACTGGCCAGGCAGTGCCAATTCCACGGGAGCTGAGGGGGCCTGTAGGTGTCCCTGGGTGGCTGCCAAGCAGATGAGTTCGGGAAGCCTGGGGTGGGGGGCTGGGGAAATGCTGGCGCATGGTTCCTCTGTGCAACCTGGAGGCTGAGGCTTTGCTGGAACATGATTTTAGGTGTAAAAAATGTGCAGTGCCTTCCAGAGAAAGGCTTAGCAGTGGGGAGATTCCAGCTGGAAGGAGGGTATGTGACACGTGGCTCAAATATGGCTCCAGAACTCCTGATGATGAACTCTGTCCCCCCTTCCTCTCCCCCCCATGGACTTGAGTCACAGACCACCTGTGGGCACTACCTGCATCCTGCCTTTCTGGGGGAGACCAGACCAGAGACGGAGTGGGTGGGGGACCCCTGGTAGGTGAAGGATGGAACAGAGCTCCACCCAACCAGCTGAGGGCTCCACCCAACCAGAAGTGGCTCAGGCCACTGCAGCCCCTGACCTCGCACCTCCTCTACAGATAACAAGGACATCCTGCTGATGCTGAGTGACATGGACATCAACGCCATCGCCGGCACCCTCAAGCTCTACTTCCGGGAGCTGCCCGAGCCCCTCCTCACAGACCGACTTTACCCTGCCTTCATGGAGGGCATCGGTGAGGCTCCAGGAACCTGAGGGCTGGGCTGAGCCAAGCCCCCTGAGCAGCAGAGTAAAGAGCAACATGAGAGCCTGCGGCTTCCCTTGCTCACTGATCTGCCTAATGCACCTGAGCATGCAGCTGAGCAGCCAGGAGGGCAAGGTGTGGCCCGCTGGGGCCTGAGCCAGAGGCTGGGCCCTCTCACCTGCCTCTCTCCCCTCTTGTCCCATGGGCTGCCCTTTGTGCTTCCCCCTTGGACGGTGACCTCCTTGCTTGGAAACCTGGGTGTCCAAGGAAATCTGTCCTGCAGTGAGTAGTCAGGGGCAAGAGCACTCCAGAGGCAAGAAGCCTGGTTAGGCTGGAATGCACTTGAGGTGGCTGGTGCTGAGCCTCCCAGAAGGACCACTCATCTCACCTGTGCATGGGTGGGGAGGAAGCAGAGGGCCCTGGCCAGCAGGGCTCTGGCTTCCACTCATTTGGGCCAAATCCAGGCCTGGGTGCATCCTTCCTGCCTCTTCCCCTGGGGCAGATCAGGGCTTCAGCCACCATGAGAAATGAGGAGCCCCCATGGAAGGCTGCTCACTGCCATGCTCCAGTATCGGAGTGGCTAAGAGAAAACATTCACGCCAGTGTCATCGTCTTAAACTTAGCCTTACAGATGAGGGTGGCACATGGCATTTGCCGTAAAGGCCTGTGCAGTAAGGGCAGGCAGGTGTCTGCTCTCCACCAGCCTGCCTCCTGGCTGAGTTCTAGGTTGTGGGTGGGGCGTCCTGTAGGAACTGGCTATTAATAGGACAGCCTGGGCTCTCCCTCAGGGTCCCACAGCCTCCTGACCACAGGGGCGCTGGCTAGGGCCTCCCCACCTGGGAGCCAAGCCCCGCCCTAGCCCCGTGTCTCCCCACAGCCCTGTCAGACCCTGCTGCCAAGGAAAACTGCATGATGCATCTGCTCCGCTCCCTGCCCGACCCCAACCTCATCACCTTCCTCTTCTTGCTGGAACACTTGAAAAGGTAATGGACAGGGTTCCACTGGGGTTGGGGGTGGGCAGGGAACCCAGGGCAGACACCTGCTGGAGAGAACATGCTTGCTGCAGGGCCCGCCTCCTCATGGGTGCTGGCCTCTGCTGGGCCACCGATAGCAGGGTGAGAGCTTGCTTTTCAAACTTTTATAATATTTGGGTCCTAATAACCACCTGGAATATTGGCCATAGAATGCTTAGAAAGGCAGGGCTAGAGCCAAAAACCACAGATGAGTTTTACAGTCAGTGGGTCAGTCAACTTAGCACATTTTAAATGGAAAGAATAGACAGCGTCAGGGTGCACCGCGGGCAGTAAGTATGCGTGTGTCCTGTTGTTCTGTCCATTACATATGACACATAGTTGTGTCCTTGACAATGCAGGGTGTTTGCATTGTCATGGTCAAAATGTTAGAAACTCCTCAGTCTTGACCATGCCTTCTCTAACAGGTAGGGAAACAGGCCCAGCCCAGCAGGGATATGCTGTGGTTAGCAGGGCTCTGTCCCTGCAATCCCAGCTCCCAAATCCTAAACTAAGGCCCTTCCCACCTTCTCCCCTGCTCCTTCTGTAATCAAACCGAGAGCTGCTAAAGTTGAGGCCTGAAGCAAAATTCAGACTGAAACTAGCCCTGAAGGTGACCTTATCACTCGAGTCCGGAACTGGTCTGGGGTTTGAATAGGGAGGAAAAGTCCCCAGGTGTCCCTTAAATCCGCCACCCAGGACCAGGGAGCCTAGAGGGGGCCTGTGCTGTGGGCCAGGTCCTCCCTGAGCTCAGCCCAGCCCTCAGGCCCAGGCTCCCAACTATAGCTCAGGAGGGCCAGCTGAGACCTGGAAACGCCTGGGACTGCTGTCTTGTTTTTCCCATTATGGGACATTTTCCCTCTGGTTTGGCCAGGACCAGAGCCCCAACCAATTCCCAAATAGTTTGGCAAGCACTATGGGGAGGACACACACAGGAGGAATGGGAAGGGAAAATTCATTAGGTTTTCCACCCTGGGAACTAGGCACAGTCTGTTCCCACATCTGGGCCCCTGGCTGGGGCGTGTGTGTGTGTGTGTGAGTGTGAAGGGGTTGGGCCAGCTGCATAGCTTCCTCCTGGCATGGCAATGTTTGCCCGTTTCCAAAGCAGTCAGCGGGCACATCCATAACTCTTGCCTGGAGGCTGGGAATGGTGGTATAGTTGGGAGTGGGTGAGAGGCACTGCTCAGGGGTGGGTGGGTCTCAGCCCCAGAAACATTTCCTAGGACTGGAGAGGCCCAGGGCCTCTCTGATGCGTTGGGTGGCACTGGACTGCCTGGATACCACCCACAGAAGGCAGCCCCTGCTGTCACTCGGGAAATATCTACAGAGCATCTGGCCTGTTGTGCAAGAGAAGCAGAAGATCCAAAGGGAGACAACTCTGGGGTCCCATGAGACAGACCCTTCTGGAAAAGGGCTCCATCTGGGATTAGGATTATGCCTGCCACAGCACAGAGGGCAGAGCCTCAAGTCTAGTTAGCAACTGCAGCTGGGGCTCTAGCTCCCTACCTGTGGCTCCTGCCCCTGCCCCGCCCACTCTGACTCTTCTCTAGGCCACGCAGCACAGCTTGACTCGTCATGGGTAAAGCACAGAGTGGTGCAGAGCAGGGGCTCTGGATGCAGGCTGCCTCAGTTCACATCCCAGCTCTACCACTTGCTAGCTGTGGAACCTCAGACAAGTCACTTAACCTCCCTGTACTTTGGTTTCTTCATCTGTACAGTGGAGGTGATAATACTATCCAGAGGATTCTGAGGAGTATGAATTATTGTCAGGAAAGTTCTTGGGGCAGTAATATCTCTAAGGTGGAGGTGTTGGAGCGGGTCCTCTTGGCTCTAATGGTTTACCATCAGTTCAGGGGGTGGCCTTGGAGCTGGGAATCTGTTACAGGAATGTACTGGGACATAGCTGGGGACTTGGTCCCTTGACTGAGTTCCCTCCCTACCAAGAGAGGTCTACCCTTTGGAGAGAAAGTCTAATAACCACCTTCCAAGAATCTGCCTAGGAGCTCTTACACACAAGGCCAAGGGTCTGGAGCTCCAAGTGGCTGCTGAGAGATGACTTTTTCTCCCCTCCCTTTCAGGGTTGCTGAGAAGGAGCCCATCAACAAAATGTCCCTTCACAACCTGGCTACTGTGTTTGGCCCCACGTTACTGAGACCCTCAGAAGTGGAGAGCAAAGCACATCTCACATCAGCTGCAGACATCTGGTCCCATGATGTCATGGCACAGGTACTACCACACTGCCCTGCCTGTAGCTGATAGAGGGTGAGACAAGCCCCCCTGAGGGGTGGAGAGAGAACAGCTCAGAATCCCACACCCCTTCCCTCCTGACCAGTTGGGTTCATGGTCTGCAGGCTGTCACCAGGGAGGCAGGGCTTTGGACAGTCCTCGCCCTCCCAGACCAAAACAAAGTTTACTAAGGCCCCTAGACCTGGGGCCCAGGTTCTCGCTGCAGAAATGAAGCCCAGGGGTATAGGAAAATGCTGGGGGTCTTGTCCTCTTGCATGGAAGCTCTAGTATTGCTTCTGGGTCAGGAAGCCTCCTTGAGATCCCCTACAAGACCTGGAGCAGGGTCCACTCTGAGACAGGAGGCCGGATGCCAAGCCAAAGCCAACCTCTGGAGGCAGGTTGGAAGCTTATGACAGGTTGGGAAGTGGCCCCAGGCTCCCCACCCTCTGCCCTGTGGCTCCCTCTACTGCTGCAAATGGGCAGGCACACCTAGGCTGCCATGGAAGGGGAAGTGGCAGGAGCCAGCCTGAGAGGGAAGGGGAGCAACACAGATGTGACCTCCAGCCAGAGGACCATTTCATCTCAACAGATCAGAGGAGGGCCACGAGGATAAGGACCCCACCTCAGTGTCCCCTGTCTCCCCACAGGTCCAGGTCCTCCTCTACTACCTGCAGCACCCCCCCATCTCCTTCGCAGAACTGAAGCGGAACACACTGTACTTCTCCACTGATGTGTAGCCCCAGGTGGGAGCAGCTGTGGGGGTGGCCGAGCCCACCTCTCCAGCCGGGGGACCCAACACAGACTTGAAAGACTACAATAGAAAACTCCCAAACCCAGCACTCCAGACTCCAAGGGTCGCAGATTTCCAAGAACTGGAACATGTGCATCTTTTGTGCCACCTGTACAAAGCCAGCTGACCCAGCCCCCAGCCTCACCGCCACACCTGGGCTCCTGCCCTTTGTACCTCTAGTTGTGTCTAATGCTCCATGCTGTTTGGGAATTGTTCTATGTCTGTCTGTCATGCAGAAAAGGTGGTGACTGACCCAGTATGGGCACAGAGAAAAGGTAGTGACTGACCCAGTATGGGCACAGAGACGGCCTGCTTTGTTCTTTCATTTCCTCCAACACTCTCCTCCTGAGTCCAGTCCAAGGGCTTTGATTTGGCGCCCAGTAACTGCTGCCAGCTTACCCTCTCTTGGCCCTGCTCCCAGACTGCAGTCTCCTGGCAGCCTCCCCTCGGGTTTCTCCACTCTCCGCCCTCCCAGCCTGTCCACATGCATGTGCAGCCTTGGTTTTTGCTCCATCACCTTGAAAGTTCTGAGGCGGCCCTGGGTGGCGGTGACCACGGTGGCCCATCAGATGCTGCCGCATGCTGCCCCCGCCCTCCCCTTGCCCTCCACCTGTGGAAGCACACCTGCTTTGCCTTGTTGCCTGTGCAAATGTTGGACAAGGAGACAGACTCACACTAATCCTCAGCTTAGCAGAGCTGGAGAGTGGATTTCTGGAATTTTCCACTCGAGAATCTCCATTTCTGGGGTTTATCTGTTCTGTCTCCTTCTGACCAGTGAGGCATCTTGACTGTTTCTTCTGCTTTTCAGTTCCTTTTCCCCTCGTGTTTTATTTCGAGTGTAGACTCACAAGTGACCTGCTATCAAGATAGCCGGAGGGTCAAGAAAGAATTGGGGAGGTGGGAGAGGCAGCCACTGAGGCAGGAGCACTGGCTGGACATTCGGAGGAGTGCCATGTGGCACTGGATGTCCTGAGTTGGGGAAGTGGCTGTCAGCATCAAAGAGCTATAGTAGCTTTCCTAGTGGAGCTAGGCCTCCAGGAGGGCAACTCATGTGGCTGAAGCAGGTGTCCAGACATAGGCAGGCTCCATCCAGGAGACTAGCCCTTACTGGCACCTCACGTACCTCGTGGTACCTTTGCCTTAGATTTTACATTCTCCACAGCCAAGCACTGCCACGGGGCAGCTGCCATGGCCACATGTGCTCCAGGGCCAGGGAAAGACAGGCACAGTCCAACAGTAGCCAGCGTCATGGTGCTGCCTCCCCACCCCAGCTCCTGGATGCATCCTTTTGTGTGAACTTTGGGAAACTCAAGAAGCTGGGGAAGATGAGGCACCTGCCTCTCTTGGGATTGGGTTGCTGGAGACCCTCATTGTTGACACTCTACCCGGGAGTCAGGGGTCAGTAGGTTCCATTCCCAACTTTGAGACCCACTGTTCTCAGTACTGGAAAGGATGAGAAGTGAAGTATCCCCAAATACTTCTGTTTCTTCCCATGTGCGCAGTAGCTGCCAACCTTTGGTGGTTGACCTGGAAGGGCAGACACTCCCAGACTGCAGGGGCTTGAGTAGTAGTACAGGCTCCCTGGCTCTTCTCTGTGGCAGAGAGTAGATTCCAGGGTTCAGGATTGGAGAGAACAGCTCCCATAGCTTGAGCTCAGGGCTGAGTTTTAATGAAGGGTTTGCTGGCCATAAAGTTGTAGTGCTTGCTCCTTAAGCAGGGCCCTTTCTGATCGTTTATACCTGTTACCCAATCTTGGGCAGAACGGTACACAATCTGTGCACATCAGAGAAAGGAGATACTGAAGAGGAGGGAAATACTGACTAGCTAGCTACCTGTTAGCAGCTTAGCTAGGAGCCCTGCTCCTTGGGACAGGAGATGGGGAAAAAACTTGAGTCTGAAGATCCCGGCATCTGCCCATCCCTGCTCTTGCTTCCAAAGCCACCGATGGTAATGAACTGGAGGCCCAGCTTGAGCTAGTTATAGCCAAAAATGGGTGCCTCCCACTTCCCCAAAACAAGGGATGTTTACTTCTCAGCATCAAACAGCTACTTACTACAGCCCCCAAGCTTGCTTAGGCAGTGTAAGAATGGGAGGCTAGAAGGCTGAGAAATGCCAGAGGCTCAGAATATTTATAAATTCTAACCCCAGAGTGGGGAGGGGCAGGTACCAGACTTGGACTAAGCTGCACCAAGGAAATAGCCCATGGGTTCTCCTGAGAGACAGGGACTGTGCAGCCCAGAACCCCCAGCCACTGTGCTCAGCAGGGCAGGCTGTGCCAACAGGCTCAGCACACAGGCTACAGGAATCCTAGGAGGCCTGTCCTTGCTGGCAATGACTGTGGGTTGCCGGTTTTTGCCGATACAGGTGGGATAGGACCCTTCATTAATATTTGACTTTAATAAGTTGGTAAGGATATATTTTTTGTCTGTTCTGTTTCAACTTATGTAGATTATTATAAATTGATGTAAAACACGTGAAAGGAAAATGTTAATAAAAAAATGCAAAGCCCCAACATTTGCACACAACTCAGCCCTCTGGTGCGGACATTTGTGTTCTCAGTGGTCCAGGGAAGACCACCAATCTAAATATTTAACTCTTCAGGCTGCCTCCAGATGTGAGTTTGCAAGAATCTGTTTACCTAGTTAACCCCCCCTGAGCTTTCCTACGGACTATGGGGACTGTGGCATTTTAAGGGAGGGGAGCCCACACCTTCTCCTTGCTCTTCACAAAGGCCTCCAGGTCAGCCAGCAGCCAGTTCATGAAATACAGATGCCCTGCCAGGGACCTGGCCATCAATATGCCTCCAAGAGATGGCAGGAACTGTCCATTCAAGTGGAAGCTTCATATTTTTCTCTACATTTTCCTTGGATATAGCTCAGCTTTGGGGCAGCCTTGCAGAGAGGCTGGGTCCCCTAGACGGCCAGCCTCCCTTTAGGAAAGCCAGTGAGGTTAATGTAGGCTCCCACCAGCCCAAGCCATTGGACACTGTGTTTATTCTGGAGATCAGGAACAGATGTCTCTGAAAATTGGTGTTTGGTTTATGAGGTCATACTGACTCCTTAGCCATCTAAAACAGGAAACTATTCATCTCCTCTCTTGATTGAATAGTGAATGTGGACAATGCTTCGCCTATTGAACTGATGGCTACTGACACAGCCCAGGGCTCATCTTTTCCAAGGCAGTTTGTCTTGCGTCCAGTCGTTCAGTGTATCTGACCCCACATGTTAGACTGGCTGGCAGAAGATGCTGGGCGTCCTAGCACTTTAACGGGTGCCAGGTAGGAGTATCTGCTTTTGCTCTCAAAGTGCTTATAGGTGACATTTAGGGACAGTGTAGCAAACAATTCTAAGTTTGTTCTGAGACCTCTGAGGATACTCCAGACAGCCTAGCAGCAATGAAGCCTCGTGCCTGTGAGACTGGGGCAGGCGTCATATAGAATTCACCATAGAAGGACATAAGCTCTGTGCACTCATTCCAAAGGAAACAGCAGACATGGCCAGAGGAAGGTGTTACCAGCTGGGTTTGACATTATCACTCACATACATACACACACTTGGGACGCCCGGATTTTCCAGTTGAGTCTTTGAACTCTGATTAAGGGTGGGTGGGCTAGAAGACAGCAGGCAAGGGGAAAGAGAGCAAAAAAAGAAAAAGCGAAGTTACTGTACAGTAGGAAAAAAGATATTACCACTGGATAAAGGCAGCCAGGATTACATGTCCCCCACCAAGCCTGCCTGCTCCCAAGAACAAAAGCCTGAGCTCATCAACATCTTACCACCAAAGCACCAGAGTAAATCAGAACCTGGAGCAAATCTCAACCATAAAAGGCTATTTGTGTGTGCGTGTGCACCTATGATGAACAATTAGGCTGCGATGTCAGAAAAGGGTTACCAGGTCAAGTCAAAATCACTAATACGTTAAAACAAAAAAACACCAGAGAACAAGGGTAGTGGTGACCAGCCCCTCAACAATGTCTGATTTTACTCAGTATCTGCTGTGATTCAGTCATCAGGATGATCATAGCAAGACCCTTCACATGCTTCCTTGAGCTAGGCCTAGCCCAGTACTCAGAGCATAACACCAGTAAGTGGTTCAGACACAGGCATTCTCATCAGCCAGCCCACAGGAGGGTTTTTTAGAAGAGGCCAGCAGGACTTATGCATGGGATTTTACGGCATCCTAGGAAGTGGCTAGGCTGGCTTCTTGGGTGGAAGGCCCTGGTGATGTCACAGTCTTGGTGAAGATAACATGACTCTACAAACCCTGAGAATCTAATAATCCCAGACTTCTCATGAGCTTTCTCAAATTTTCCTCCTTTGAATGTTCAATCTTTGGGCGACCTAGCACCATTTTGGGGAATTGTAGAAATTAAAAATAAAAATAAACCATTTAAACTGTAATATAAATATATATTTTTTTTAACGAAGATAGCAGAATGCTAAACAAAATGACATAATTGACAGAAGGCATAAATTTACTTTGCCCTGATATGTGAGATGTATGACTGCATGGAGCTCCAAGATAGAACACCTTTCTGGGTCTATGTAGTCACCTCTGTTCCCACAGCACCAAACCACCAGAGGGCCAGGCAGGGCCAGGACCAAATCTCTGTGGAACTTAATTTCTACAAGTCTACTCACTGACTCCTAATCTGCTGGAAAGAGAGGCCGGCATGGCACATCCCCACATAGCCTGGCTGGGGTCCAGGAATAGACAGTGGCTGCTCAGAGGCTGGAGGCGTACAGTGGCCAGGTGGCTCCCTCACAACATCAACTATATGAGGAAAAACAACTGTCTTCGGTGTCTGAGGCAAGTGCCCTGGAGTGGTGCAGAAAATGCCTTCCTCAGAACAGCTCTGATCCTGGGCTGGTGGTGTTCTTCCCCAGAGGCAATCACTCTCACCGTAGATAGTAATCGATTGCAGCAGAGAAAGCAGCAAAACCTCCACAACCAATGACCCCAGCCTTTAAGCCAGCTGTAAAGCAAACAGAAATGACATTACCTGTGATGACAGATGCTGGATCAGACTGCATTCACAAAACACCTGCACCCACAGATGTAGAGCAACCAGCTTAAGCATCCTAAGTCATTCAACCTGTCAGAGACCTGTAAGACTTCAATGAAGCCGTGTACATGATCTAAGCCAGTGTGCTTTAGCTAAACTGTACATTCGTTTAACTTTTCTCATTCCAAAGAATTAATATTTCCAGTCTCATGAAAATAGCCCCACAGGCAGGAAACTAGCTAAGAAAACCAGCCCTTGGAATCAAGTGAAAGCATATGGCCTGTTACTCTGATTTGTTTATGGAATAAATTCCTGGGAAGGTGATCAAAGCAGTCCTAGAGGGAGCTGAGCTTCTCAAAGGCCCTGACAAAGCTGAGCGATGGGAAGACCAAAGGAAAAGTTACCCTCTAAATCATATATGGCTGTTTGAGGAGCAAAAGCAGGTTTTTAATGATAGGAAATCATCCTGCCTCTCAGAAAATGATAAAACACACTTATTGCTTTGGGTAAGTCAGATACAGAGTAGCCCAGCAATAGACACTATTAGGAAAGTCAAGCCACTCACCCCCTATACACACTCTTGATGGGAATGCCAACAGGGAGAAGTGGCAGGGAATTGGTTTCTTTCTTTGTTGTTTACAGCTGATAATCCAACATTTCTTGAATACCTATATTTGGCTTTCCATGGGCAGAAATCTAAGAATCCTCAACTGCAGAAAGACATTACTGTGATAACTTACACACAAAATTAAAACTGACAATTGTATAGTAGCAGTAAGAAAAATGTCTAAATACTGGAAATGCATGAAGCTGAAAGTTCAGCATGATATGTGGACAAATGGACTTTGCAGGGCTGAATGGGACCTTACTTTGCTTCCATACTATCCTGCCTATCAACATACTCCAGGAATGACTTACTGTGAGCACGTTCTTCCCATATTTCCAACATGGGGGCAGTTCTTTTTTCCTAAGATAGATCTAGATCTAGCAGTGGTTCTCACCTGGGAGCAGTTTTGCCCCCAGGGGACACTTGGCAATGTCTGAAGACACTTTTAGTTCTCACAGCTAAATAGTGCTACTAGCATGGAGTGGGTAGAGGCCAGAGATGCTGCTAACATCCTTAAATACACGGACAAGCCCCCTCTTCCCACAGCAAAGATTTATCTGGTCCAAAATGCCAACAGTGCCTAGGATAAGAAATCCTGAAGTTTCCAAAATTGAGTTGACAAATAAGCAAACATGATTAACTTGTCAGAAGGGAAAAATACCAAGTGTCCACATATGCCCTGGGCTGTCCCTGGAACACTCAAATGTTTAGAAACATCAACTTCAGCATGCTGTCCAAGGCCACAAAGAAAACCACTCAAGAGTTGTTTACTAACCTCTGAAACCAATGGCTCCTCCAGTGATGCAGCCACTAATGACACTGTTCTTCCAGTCTGATTTCCCCCGGTACTGCGGGTGGAGAAGTGCAGTTTAGAGCCAAAGAAACAGGCCAGACAAGACAATCAAGGGAAAAACACAAGGTTTCTAGCTGGCTAATTTAATCCCTCCCCAAAGGAAATCTAATCTTTTTCAAAAGTATAGTTCCTAAAATGTGAATGGGTTCACAGACGCTTCCTGCAGGTTTGAGAAATAATCAAAATCTCTTCTTGGGTTCCCCAATAAGTCTTGTGTTTAAAATCATTAACAAACTTCTAGCCAACAAAAAGTAAAGAATCATGCAAGCCCAAATCAAAACCACACAAAAAGTTTACATTAGAGGCTATTTAATGGACGTTCAATCTAGCAAGTATCAGACATTTCTGATCTGCTTTCTAATACATTAGGAGCATTTCTCTTTAGAAGTCATAAGATGGCAGCAGGCAAGACTTTCTCAGAAGGCAGAGATACTTACAGATTCTACCAAACACTCAGTGCAAGAAAACATGGCGCCCACAATGGCAAAATTTTTGGCGTAGGACATTCCTCTCTGCCCCATGTCTTTAAGAACTTCTTTTGCTGTCGGAGTACGGTAAGGATCCTTAGGGTCAAAGCCCACATTGGTATCAATGCCGGCGGTGAACACCCCAAATGCACCTCCCAAGACAAATCCTAAAAACAAACAGAGATGAAGATTTCTTTGGTATGTTTCCTGAATTACTGCAATGGGGTCATATTAGAATAGCACCTTCTGGGTGGCCACTAGTGAAAAGGACACCCCATGCGCCTTACCACCCAAACTCTCCACTTGCCTGGTTCCCACATTACACAACCCAGGATCTATCTTGTTGACAGCTTTCTCTCTGTCTCTTGGATTTCTTCCTCATTTCATTTTCTAATATTCCTCAAGACCCAGGCTTTAACCCTCTGTTCTCTCTCTACACTCTCTCACATGTAACCCATCACCCTTGAGTTCAGCTATCAGCTTTGCAAATCATTCCCTTAACACCTTGCTGACTGGTTATTTTGAGCCAGAACTCACCTGTGTGGCCGGCTACTTTGGTCAGCAAGGTGTTTAAAATTACTTAAATTAATGTAAGTGCAGACACGAGTTATCTCGTGACCAGTCAGCAAAGTTCAAACACGTGTATACTCGTGACTGGTCAGCAAGGTTTTAACAATTGTAACATTCATAACAGTATTTTAGTAAATACCATGTGCTAATTACTCTAGCACTTTATAGCTACAGCCTCACTTATTCACAATAACCCTGTAAGGTAAACATTACTATCTTCTCCTTTCCGTAGCTAATAAACAGGCTCAGAGAGGTTAAGTAACTTCCCTAAAGTCACAAAGCTACCAAATGGCAAACACCACACTGCTGTCCAAATCTGACCTTCCTGAGCCTGCTGGACATTTCCATACGGATGTCCTCTCATCACCTCAAGGTCAATACAGTTGACCTTGAATAATGCAAGGCTTAGGGGTGCCAAACCCCCCCCCAGTCAAAAATCTACATATAACTTTTGATGTCCCAGAAACAGTTGTCCTGAATAAGATCCAGAGAGGAGCCCAAGAGTGAACATGCAGCCCCAAGAGCTTGAGTCACCTCCACGGTGAGACTCAACCCAGGCTGCTGTCTGCGCCACAAAATCTGCACCCACCTCTCAGTGAGCCTGCCCGGCTGCTGTGACCACCAGCCACGCTAACCACCACTGAGGTGCCCGAGTGAGACAGTGAGAGCCAACAGGGAGACAGCATGAGGTATGAGCCAGGCAGGCGAGTCTGCCACCACCACCCTGCCAAAGGCTCCGGCGGAGGCACTGTGGTCCCTCAGGACCCCACACCCAAGAGCCCAGTGGGCGACATGCCCGAGGCCGTGGAAACCCCGGTGGGGACGCTGCCCCTGCCTCTTCAGACCCTACCCACAGTGAAGACGTGAAGAAGAAAGTTCTCACCACCAACATCCTAGGCACTGTCAAATGGTTCAATGTCATAAATGGATATGGATTTTATAAATCAAAATGACAGCCAAGAAGATGTGTGCGTACATCAGACTGCCATCAAGAATAAACCAAACTGTAGAGTTTGATGTAGCTGAAGCAAAGAAGGGTGCTGAACAGCCAATGTGACTGGCCCAGATGGAGTTCCTGTGAAGAGAGCCGTTATGCTGCTGATCCGGGCCAGTACAGATGTGGCTACTATGGCAGATGCTGTAGACCTCCACGTAGTCATGCTGGGGAGCAGGGGGAGAAAGGGAGCAGCAGCAGTGAAAGACTTGCCCCCCCCCTTCCCCCCCCGCGACTGACAAGCAATCTTTGGGGCCTGGAGTCAGTTGCACTGCCCTCAGTATCACCTTCAGTACCTGCACCCACCTTACCACATGGGACAGACCTTTGACCATCACTCACAGGTCTTTCCCCATCCCAACAGAATGCAGGCCAGTGAGATTGGAGAGATGAAGGATGGAGTCCCAGAGGAAGCACAGCTTCAGGAACTAGTTTATTGAAATCCAATTTACCATCCAAGGTACCTCCTCGCCCACAACGTGCCCCAGCTGTGGGAGAGGCTGAAGATAAGAGAATCAACAAGCAGCCAATGGTCCAAACCAAACTGCTGTATCATTGCTGTGTCACCCCCGTCCTCCTAACACTCCTTCACAAAATGGCAAAGAGACCAAGGCAGGTGAAGTGCCATCTGAGAACCCTGCTCCAACCACCAAGCAAAGCAGAGTAACACTAGGCTCCCCAGGCACCTTCACCATCAGCAGGTGACCTAAAGAATTAATGACCATTCAAAAAAATAAAACAAAAAAGCAGACCACGACCTTACCAACACCAAAGAAACATCCAAGCAACAAAGTAGAAGACTGCCCGGCCGGGCATGGCTCCACTGGGGATCAAGCCCCGCGACAGGGGTATGTGCCCTGACCGGGAATCCAACTGCGATCTCCTGGATCCTAGGTCAATGCTCAACCGCTGAGCCACGCCGGGCCGGGCTCACCCCCTATGTTTTCAATCCTTCAAGATACAGCTCCAGTCCCACCTCCTCTAGTGGCCTTCCCCAAACCAAAAGCTTTCTCTTTCTTTCTGCTGTACTTCACATCTGCACTCTCACCACATTCGTCTGTCTGTCATTCTCAATGAGATTTCAACTCATCCGCAAGTGTGGTCAATCTCTTAGCCCTGCACACAGGAAGGCGACTGTACATTCTCAAATCCTCAAAAGGTTTAAAAAAAATAAAATAAAAAGCCAAGTCCAGCCTTCTTTCTCCTTTGTTCACTGCTGTCTAGTCACACTGGCCACAATGGCCTTTCTGTTTTCAAACCTCAAGCCAGCTCCCGCCAGACCTCTGCTCTTGCTGGTCCCTATTTTGCAGCCTTCTTCTGCCAGACGTTCTTCGGTATATAAACATAAGAATGTTAGCGTCGTGAGAACAGGGCTCTTGTCTCACCCTGTCGCTCCACCGCCTGGCACGTGACGGCTGCTAACAATTTACTGAAATAATGATTATTGAAAAGTGAATAAACGAATGATGAACTTAGTCAACCGTTCTATAACGTCCAGGCCCCGACCCACAGCACGGACTCTCTGATCCAATTTCCAGAGTCCAGAGAGGGCTGCGGGAGGTCACTGACCGAGGCGGGGCGCGGCCAAGGTCGAGGCCCACAGGCTCCCCGCCTCCCAGGTGCGTGGTCTTCCCGGCAGAGGACCCCGATGCCACCCAAACCCCCGGCCTCCCAAGGGCCCCCCTCGCCTCGCCTCGCCTCACCTCCCACGCAGGCCAGCGCTGCCTTGAAGGCGCAGCTTTCCATCGCCTTCTCGATCATCTTCTGCTCCTCACTCTTGGCCGGACTCGGGATCCCGCCCAGGCTTCCGGGATCCAGGAGCCGGGGCTGACGCTTGTCACCCACCAGGTACTGCAGAAGAAGGCTGTACTGCAGCGGGGCTTCGGCGGAACCCGCCACCTCAGGCGCGGAGCCGCCAGCCCGGGGAGCAGCCGCCGCCATGACTGCAGTTGCCCCAGAAACCCTAGCGTCCTTCTTCCCGCGGCAGATTCCACAGGCTTCACGAGGGGCCTCGCGCGCCTAACCGCTGTGCCGCAACGGCAGATTCGCCATCTCGAGCAAGTCCCAGGAAGCTGTAGAACTCAAGTCCGTTCGTGCGCACCCGGCAGAAGACCTACCATGTTCCCCCAAAGCCTCTTGTGAATATTGAATCAGGTTTGTGCAGCATTCCCCCTGGCACTGACAGACAAGATTCAGATTCGCCACAGAGCCCTCATCTTCGGGGTGCAGCGCGGTGCCTACCGGGATTTGTAGTTCTAACTTGTACACCCAAGACGCTTCCCAGGAAGCCTTGCGCTGGGGCTCTCCCCCTCGCCCTTGTACGAAGCTTGGGACGGCGGGAGCGGAGAGGTATCTCGCCTACGAGGCTGCAGCGCGCCCGGACGCCAGCAGGAGGCGCCTCGCCACTGCCCTTACGGTGTATTTCTTGCAGACACAGATGTGATGGAAGGTACTTTGTAAATCAGCGTGAAAGCATGGTATAAATGTATGAAGTAACTGTTTGTTCAACAATTAANCGCAGACACTGAGATGTGATGGAAGGTACTTTGTAAATCAACGTGAAAGCATGGTATAAATGTATGAAGTAACTGTTTGTTCAACAATTAAACCTTTATGGGGGGGGGCAACAAATCAGTGGACAAATGAATGAAGCCAACCACGCATAAGAAAAATCAGGGATAGTGACAGGAAGTGGAGGTGACTGTGTCTGGGTGGGGAGTCCAAGGGAGGCTGAGGCTGCTGCTACTCACTCCAGCTGCTTGTTGTCAGTGGAATTAGTGATTCTTTTTTTTTTTTTNCAGTGGACAAATGAATGAAGCCAACCACGCATAAGAAAAATCAGGGATAGCGACAGGAAGTGGAGGTGACTGTGTCTGGGTGGGGAGTCCAAGGGAGGCTAAGGCTGCTGCTACTCACTCCAGCTGCTTGTTGTCAGTGGAATTAGTGATTCTTTTTTTTTTTTTAATCCTCACCAAAGGATATTTTTTCCATTGCTTTTCAGAGAGAGTGGAAAGGAAAGAGGCAGAAAGAGAGAGAAAGAAACATCTATGTGAGAGAGACACATCCATTGGTTTCCACCCACGTGCCCCGGTGGATTGAGCCTGCAACTGAGGTATGTGCCCTTGGCCAGAACGGAACCCCCGATTCTTCAGTCTGGGGACTCCAATGCCCTAACCACTGAGCCAAACCAGCTAGGGCTAGTGATTCTAATTAGTGATTAGTGGGACTAAAATTGCCATGAAAAGCCAAACTTATATTATGTTGAACTAATTAAAGTGTTTAACGGCTTGCAAACTCAGAACCCAAAGGTAAACTGAGATAGTACGATATATGAACCCAGAAAAAAAACTTTTGTAGTTTTTATGGTACTAAATTAGATCCCTAACTATTGTATTGATCCAGAAGACTAGCGATGCATTTGGGTGTATCCGTTAAGAGAAACATAAATGGAGACAGAAGGTAGTGAGGACAGCCAGTCAACATAAGCAGAGGTCCTTCTTTGGTATCCAGCGTTCTCTGTGCTGCGGAGCGCAGCATACGATCCACCCTGCTTTTGCTCCCACCAGGCCGCTGAATGAGCTAGTCCGAAGGTCCCCAGCGACTTCCTACTTGTCAAATCTAATTCAGAGACTTCTCAGCTGCATTTGACACTGCTGACTCCTCCCTCTTTCTCTGAAGTTTCTTCACAGTTTCAGTGGAGCGTCTCTCCTAGCTTTGCTACAGGCTCTCCAGTTGCTCAGTCTTCTTTGCAAGCACCTCTGCCTGGCCCTTTCCCCTCAAGGCTTCATCCTTTGTTCTCTTTGCATGCGGCTCACTCTTCCTGAGCAACTCATCCTACTTGTGGCTTCTACTACCACTTCTAATGCATTAATGACTCCCAGATCTTTAGCTCTAGCTTAGATCTTTCTCATAAACACAGGAACCAGGCAATTTCTATAGGCACTTCTAACTCAACACCCTAGCAAACACCCTTTCCTTCCAGGTGAATGAGGGGCCCAGGGCTCTGATCCATGCTGAGGTCTTACGAGCCAAAGTTGGATCCAAGAGAAGCTGGGACAGGCCCCAGGCACATCTGAGGCAAGGTGGCCTTGGAAATTAATGGTCTAAACAACTGATCCATGGGACCAGTTAGAGAGCAATAATCAATCCAAAAATGAAGGATCTACAGCACAGATCAGGTGAGATCCAAGAAAGCACATGCAGAAATTCCATGTGGCCGTGGTTCATGAGGGAGGAAGCCTTTTATGGAACATTGTTGGCCCAGGTCCAACAATGGACAGAGAGCAGTTACAGATACAGACACTGATCTGGTATCTCTCTCCCCTCGCCCATCTTCCTCAGTAGATGGAATGGATTTCATTTGATGGAAAACTTGAACCTCTTCAAACATATTTCAGAAGTGAGAAGTGGTTTCCCATGTCTGTTTCCCTGGGCTGAACCTTCGCCAGTAGTCTGGGGACTTTATCTGGCCATGGCATCATTAGGAGTCCAGCCACTCTCATGTTACACTTAGGTTCTCCACCCCAGTTTCTCTATTCTGGCACAAGGATATGGGGGTGGGGCAGCATCTCAGTGGGTCAGAGAGAAGAAGGGACAGTTACAGATGAATTAGATTTATAGGGAGGGTTGTAGGAAGAGTCAGAACATGCTTAGTTGGTGACCCATCACTAAAAGGACTCAAGGTAGTGGCACAAATGGGTAGGTGCTGAACTGGAGGAGGGGCTGATCATATCCCACTTGGGTGTGTGAGACCCCAGCCGACCTATAGTTCTCTCAGTATGTCACTGGAGCTCAGGAGTAAGAGAAATATCATGTGTGGGATGGAATGAAGAAGTCCAAGTTGAGAAGTACAGTGTGTCCTATGTGGATTTGAGTTGTATGTGAGTTTAGTAACAGTGAGTAGTCTGAATAGTCCCGTCACTGGCAGGAGGTATGGCCACATAGGTACTCTGAGTAGCCAACTCATTCACTGTAGCTAGTGGGTACTGGACTTTGTATTGAAAGGGCCTTGACCCATGTCCTCCAAAACCAGAGGGTAGCTAGGAGGTAAGGATGGAAATACGGCATCTGAGAAACTCATGGAAGGAGATGATATGAATAAAACATGGCTGTATCTGGGCTGGAGCAGGAGCTAAAGTACTCTGAGAAGGTGACAATAGCCACCAGCATCACCAGGATGGCTTCATCTTCATGTGAGGAGCATAGGTCAGAGGTGAAATCTAAGGATATTGAGGAATCAAGAGTTGGTACAATCCTTGCACTGCCTGTCACATGTGGTTGCTTAAGACAGGGTGTTAGTGTTAACATAGGGCCGCCGGAAGCCCTGCACACACGTTTGCTTAGAGTTGCTGGTTAGGAAGGAATGATGGGTGATGTGCTACACCTGGGGAGAGGCTGCCCCTGTCTGGGTGTATTGCCACCTGACTCTTTCTCTCCAAAGGTCCCTCCTAGACAGCTCAAGGTCCCCACCTGGATCATTGCAAACCCTGGATGCAAGGAACTGTTCAAAATTTGAGAGGCACCACGGTTTGCCAGCAGCCCATTAGGACAAATGTGTGCTTGCAAGCCAAAGTTCCCAGTCATTTGCTATATGACTGTCCTTCCTTCATCTGTGAAGGGATGGGCTTGGGAAATTGTCACCAGTGTTCCAAGAACATCATTCCACATGGCTTGGCCTTTTCTTTCTATAGAGAAGACCCAATCAGGTAACAAGAAAGCAAGGGATCAGAAGCATGAAGTGTTTTTGCAAAGTTTATGTATTTTTCTCCAACTCCTAAGATATTATGCTAGCTTGTTACTTGATAATATTTAATATGTATAGTAATAATGCTTTTCAGTGCCTCAGATAAAGTTGTGATTGGAAATCATTTGTACTGGAAACAATTTCTATCTAATCATTTGGATTTTCAAAAGGAAGTTAAGTCACCTCACTTCTTGGAGGCAGTGGTCAAGTTGTGCCCATTTCTCTCTTTGCCCACCCCTCTAAGAGGGGCAGGATGGGTTCTCTACTGTTTAGACTTTTGAAGTAAAAGGAACAAAATAAACCTTTCTAGAGGAGGGCTGAAAAGTTAGTCAGCTAATTTGATTGTTAATCAATATTACTGCTTTATTGCCGAGGGCAGAAAATGAGGAGACTTTTGAAAAACTTTCTACACTTATTCTTATCTCTTGAGGTTAAAACTTTGAGATTATAAGCAAAAAGGAACCAACTAATTAATTTATGGCCTAGCAAATAGAAAGGAGCCTCCTCTGATCTCTGACCAGAATTTCCTAAACCACAGAGTAAGTATTATTTTGGTTGTAAGCAACAGAAACCAGCCCTGGCCAGCTTTCACCAAAAAAGGGGGGGGAGGTATTGATCAGCATCTTGTCTATACCTCTCACTGGAAGTAGATCCACACTACTTGGATTTCCATTGAGACGGGGAACAACTGTTTGGCTAACTGAAGCCTGGGGTACATCGTGGGGCCAAGGTCCCACTGCAGGGAAGCAGCGGGCCAAAGAAGGGAAAGGTGGCACATTGCCAGTTTCATCTCTAATCTTAAAGGAAGTGTCACTTCCTCAAAAGGCTGGTGTTCAAAGGTTTGGGCCAATTTGTTGTGAGAAAAGCCACTGATTGCTACTGGCCTTTTGTTTAGCTCTGAAGAAAGGAGCTCAGCTTCACAGGCCCGCAGCAGCACAGATGGCCATGTCCTGCCAAGCGGAGACAGAATTGGAGCTTGACTGGGTAGGAGGCCTCAGGGAGTGTCTGCCCAGTGGAAGACCTAGACAGAGGCACAAAGCCGTTAGGGATCCCTTTTCCCACTCACCGCCTGCCCCGAACCCAGAGCTTTCTGTGTCTGATGTGAACTACTATCATAGCTGAATGAGAGAGCCTGGATGTCCTCTGGGTTGACAATGAATTTTCTGGAGCGAGACAGCAGGAGTACAGCTTTGCTGGGGCCAGGGCACAGGCAGGGTGAGTGGAGGTCTGTATTTCTTGTTATAGCTTCTT